ACAAAGAGCTGTGAAGTTCTGACCTGCAGCAGATAGGGCTGAATTCATGGACTTCACTAGAAGTCATGGATTTCATAACTTCCATAATCCTGGTAAAAATATCGTAACCTTACTAATAATTAGTCCAATGTAGTGATGTAAAATCCCGTTTAGTTGGTTCACTGGTTAAATGTGATGTTCAACTAGTTATCTGAATAAAGGAGTGACAGACAGTGGGGAGACTGCTCCCTGTCCACCAAGGCTGGGCTATAGTGCCCCACCCCACGAGCAGGGACTGCTCCGAGTAACCAGAGCAGCCCCTGCCTGAGAAGTGCCTGGGCTTGCCACGGACAGGGGCTACCCCGTCCAGAGAGGGCCCCCTGGGCTGGAGCAGGCAGGGAACAGCACCAGCCACTACCAGTTAACCGGAACTGGTGAGTATCACCCATTAACCTTTCACATCCCTGGCTCAATGTTCATGAAATTAAAGGGTTTATTAGAACAAGCCTAGTATGGCCAGGGGAACACTAGATCTCCCCTGAAGCTATATAATGGAACTTGATTTTTGACTTCCAAAAAGCCATCTTAGTAATCTACGTGGCCTGTCTTATGCAGAGGCAGCCATTCATGTTTACAGGTTATTTTCCCTAGTGGAAATGTGTCCATAAACAAATATTCTCTTTTTATGTCTGACACTTCCTGGGAGTACCCAGGGTTGTGAAGTATCTCACCACCAGCAACCGTTACCATATGTCTGCTGAAGTCAGCTCCAAATTTCCCTGACCACAGGCAAAACAAGCACACCCTTCTAGGCCTACACAGATCCCCATCTCTAGAGATTTATGGCAGGCACATTATAACCCCTGGGCTCCCTGAGTTTCTCCTTGGAGTGTCCAACCCTTGTTCCACTTAACACTCAGGGCTGGTCTATATTTAAAAGGCTGCCAACACTACATACTCCACATGAGGACTTCTTTTGTTAGCACAGATAGCTACCGCCTTTTAGGAATGTGTATTATGCTAAGGGCAGAAGCCCTCCCATCAACCCTCCCATAGCGCTGTCTACTCTAAGGATGTTAGAATTTCTTTATTTTGCTAAATGTGTACGCACTGACATTTTCAGTGGGTACACATTTACATGAGGGGTAGGGGAAAGGGTATGGAGGAAGCTGCTGGCTCCCCATGCATACCAGCTCCTGTAGAGATGCCTGCCCCTGTGTGGTGCTGCCAATGTATCAGAGGCAGCAGTGCAGGGGGAGGGCAGGCAGGAACAGTGCTCGCAGGGAGCCAGCTTTGGAGGCAGATGGCTCTGCAGGAGCCAACTTAAAAGCCAGTTCCACCTGCCCCCCTGCGCTGCTGCCTCTGACACAGAGGCATCAGTGGGGGCAGGGGAAAGCAAGTGTAATTATGAAGGTTAATCAAGGAGTCCAAGCTCAACAGTTAATTGTTTACTTGTTTACACTGTGACATTCCCTAGTCTACTCCAGGAGTTAGGTCGGTATAACTGTGTCACACAGGGTGTGGAAAATCCTAAGCAATGTATTTATACTGACATAAGTTGCTAATGTAAACTAAACCTTACAGTAGCTACAAATTTGCTGCTTCCAAGAAGCATCTAGCATACCAGTTACATATCAGACCACAGTCTAACACACAATAAGAGTAAGTGTATAGCAAAAGTAAATAAAACTTTATTTAACAAGGTATACAGATTTAAGTGAGAGCAAGTAGATATATTGGAAAAAACTATTAACATTTTAAATAGAATCATAACACATTCTAGAACCTAGTTACTTAACTAGATACTTTCTTGTATCAATGCAATACAAACCTAAAATTTTTCCAATGTTTTACAGTCAGACTTGGCAGTGATCTTCTGTTCATGTGATAAGTCAGTCGCACTCTCAACTTGCCTTCTTGGTGAAAGATCCAAGGTGCCTGTTTCCATTTGATACATTTCCAAACAATCCGTTGTTCTTCTCATAAGCAGGGAGCCTCCTGCAGGTTGTTGTTTTCCTGTATAGTCCTTTTTTGTAGATTTAATCAGCACCTGGTCAGTATGCAAGTACTGTGGGGAGACAATACACAATGTCAGGGCAGGGAAATAATCAAATTACCTGCCTGAAGATATAGACACAACTGTTTAAATATCTATACATACATTTTGTAGTTATCATGACCAGAGAACTATGGGCTTTCAGTCGAGACCTCACATGCCATCCTTTTGGGAATTATTATGCATATATCTGAATCAGGGACCCAACTCCGTGTGCCCCCTGTGCTCTCTGCCAGTTGACACCAAGAGGTTCCTGGGTCATAATGTCATAAGCCAAGATTTGAACCCAATTTGACAAAAGGAAAAGGTAATAAACCTGAGGGGTTTTCTTGACGGGGTAAATACTGTTAGGAAATTTTCTCTTAGCTACTACTGGTAATCTTGCTTTGGTTAAAACTTTAGTAGAGTTACCATTAGAAGCTGGTTTTGCCCCCTGGTTATAACTTAACAATTAAAAATGTGTTCCATCACAAACGTGGCATTGTTTTATAAACGTGTATTATTGTTTTTCCAGACTTCATCACAAAATTGGTTTGACACATTTTATATAATCCAAGTACTAGTCCAGCAGTGGTCTAACTGACCCTTTTTGGGTTGTTATTTGGGTTGTTTATTAAATCAGTATATAGATAAAATTTGACAAGTGATGAATTCCTAATATGACCTTAACCACATAGAAGTTTTATTTAAAGCAGTAAAACTTTCTCATGAGGCTTTTTAAAATGTCTGCTGTGCTGGTACATGTTCCTAAAGATTTTGAATGTATGCATATATTTAGTTTGTATATAATAAAGCTTCTTCAGTAGTTTTTCTTTTTTGTTTATTTTTTTTAAAAGAACAACATATACGCAGACAGATGGCATACAAGCAACATGAATCTCTCTCTTACTATAATATAGCTTACAGTGTAGTGCTTTTAAAATTAGCTGCTATAATGTGGCTACTAAACATAACAAGGTGGGTTGTAGCAGGCATTTCATTTTTATTCTGAATTTCTTGGCATTTTGTGTTTGTCACATCTTTAACATATTATTATATTTCTAGTTAATAATCTTGATGGTTGCAAATTCTCTTCATTTTCACTAGAAATTCTAGATTTCTTTTTGCAAAACATATGGCCTAATAGTGCACTTAGATATTTTTAAACTGGAGGACTGAGAGTTCCACATTCGGTGTTGGGCTATAGTTGTATCTGATTTTAGCATGAGAAAATGAATTGTATAGATAGGGTTGGGATACAAAACAATCCAGTGAATCTGACTGAAATAAGAAACACAGCTGTCTGCGAAGTTAGAACTCATCTAAATTGTAAGCCTTTTTGAACTGGTACTCCTTTATGTCTACATTATGTGCTTCTTTCAGCAGCTTGTAGTATACATACATATGCAGTCCCCTTTACACAGGTATAAATAGCAGTAGACCATGAGACACAATTTAAGCAAGTAGGGTAAGAAGGGTATGGGAAAGTACCTGATAACATACCCTACATGACTCTACTTGCCTGCTGCATCTCCCTCCCCTGTTGCAGGGAAAGACTCCCACATTTCCATGTTGCTGGAGACTTTGCACACAGATTTTGCTCTGCCACAGGAAGCTGCTGAAGTCTTATCCTGCTGTTTCCCCTCTGCTAGAGGCTTTCATTGATCTGTGTAGCTACACTCCACTGTGGATGCTCTCTGCTTTACACTGCAGTATACTACATGCTGCTGCTGCCATGGATGTGTAGTATACACATAGCCCAAGATGACTGAATGGTCCTATATGTGCTTAAAACAGATTTGGAAGAAAGTGAATTTTAAAAACTGTTTATAATATGGCATGTAACTTGTAAGTGAAAGGGGGTTCATTTTATATTACAGTGAGATAATTGTGGAGATCATTTTCTTATGGTACAGTGAAAGCTTTATCTGGTACTCACAGGGAATGGGGGTTGCTGGTTAGTTGAAGGTGACAGATAACAAAGCTTATTGCTCTGCCCTGCCTTCTACTAGCCAGTGCGACTCCCGGCAGCTTGAAGCAGGCTGGGAGGGAAGGAGACGTATGCTGAGGATGTCAGCCAGCAGTTCTGGCTATCAGAAGCCTCATAACAGGCTGTACAGGCTGATGTCAGGCACCCACTCCTGAAGATGCAGCTGTATTGCAATTAGGGGATAATGCTGATTAACAAAGTTATTTGCTTAACAGAGTGCTGGATAACAAAGCATTCAGGTCGTGTGTACGCTTTGTGAAAGATTGATGGTGTCACAGATTTAAGATACATTGACTCAGCTGTATAATTAATGTAGCTGGAGTTGCATATCTTAAGTCAACCTTCCCCTTTAGCGTAGACCAGGCCTCACTATATTATAAGAAAATGTGGGTTTTTTTCAACAGTCCAAAGGCGAGAAGAAAATACTGTTCTACATGTTATGTACAGTAATGGTTTATTTGTTACAGTAGTACCAAAACATGATGGGCATTGTCTAAACAAATGAGGTAGCATGCTTCTAACTCTGAAGATCTTATCTAGAAAGAAAAAACCCACAAGCAATACATAAAAGTATAGGTCTTATTAGATATTTTTTTAAGATAGGCCACCACATAACTATGCACTTAGGAAAAGGTACAAATTACTACTGTGCAATCCTTTAATCTTATTATTGTTAGTCACTGTAGCTTCAAGGAAACATTTACAGTATATCTAAAACTCTGTTTACATTTCTTTTCCCTTGCCTGTCATAACTCTGATATATTTTACAAGGATCTTAATGAAAGAGCACGAGCAATATTTACATGCATTTAGCTTGAATTCCTTATGTTAACATTCTGTTATTTTCTGTGCATGATATATTTATTTTTCTGTTCCTATCAGTTTTGTAACTACTTCCAATCAGCTTCCTATTCTGATAAATTGTAATTATACTTTTTTGTTAACAGTACAAAATTTTGTACAAATTCTAAACTTAAGTGTCTTTTTATTGTACAGATATAGAGTTGTGGTCTCCTATCCTCCTCAGAGTGAAGCAGAACTTGAACTTAAGGAAGGAGACATTGTTTTTGTACATAAAAAGCATGAGGATGGCTGGTTCAAAGGTACTCTGCAACGCAATGGAAAAACTGGCCTTTTCCCTGGCAGCTTTGTAGAAAACATCTGAGAAGATTCTTTTAAAGAGATGCAAATCACACTACACTATAAAATAGCACAAAATATTAGCAGAAAGAGTGCAGTCATAGAAGACTTTCAAATGACTGTAATATAAAGAAATTATATATATCTCCAATGTTCTGTACCACAATGGCAAGTGAACAAAGATGATGAAGGCATCTGCTATTTTTATCACTTTGTATTCTTAAGTGTAATGTGTGCCTTGTACTGTCTGATTTATTATAAGGGGAACCTTTTTCCTTCAAAGATGTTACACAAATGAATAATTGTTTACAAAGCTGTAACTAATTTATTCTTGTTTCTTTAAAACTTGAATGTTGTGTAATAGCTAGGTTCTTGTGATTATGATTTTAACAAATTATTAATTTATAAAATGATAGCAAAGGGGTAGCTGGATTCTCTCCCAATGAGGGAGTGCTTATTTCTGATACAGAACCTCCCTTTTTTCTTCTTGACTTTTTCCCCTGCTGTGTATGACAATGGAATTAGTCTTTGTGTTATGAGTTAATGTAGAGTTGTAGTGATGATGTGATGTCAAACTGAAATTGGAAACTGGGAAAAGAATGGAATTGTGTGTCTTGTTCTTAGGACAGAATGTATCAGTTGTTTTTTAGTCGAATTCTACTCCTTAAAAATTGCCCAAACAGTATAATGTTTCTGGAAGGCAAAGACATAACACTGCAACGGATAACATCTCAACAACCTCAAGGATGGGAAGGAAGAAATTGAGAGGAAGCCAATAAGAAATTCCCTGTAGCTTCTGTTTGTTCAAGAATTTGGATAACTAAACAAAGTTTAACTTTGCATATTTGGCTAGCTCTCTGATCTTTTAGTACTCTCAGGATGTAACAGAGATAAAAAGAATCTTAAAGCACAATGGCAAAACAAATTATATTTGCAGAACACTTTTAATTTTAGAATAGCAACTTATCTCCTAGGGTTGAAACTTTGAGTTGTACTCGATGTCTAAAATGCCTAAGAAATGTAATTTGCTTTGTTTTGTTTTTTTCAAAGTGATCTGCATGGCCAGGAGACGTTTTAAAATGTTTGAGCAATAGTGATGGTAAGTGATGCACTTGTGTTAAAGTAAAAGGCTGTAAAGACACTGTGAAAACTTCGCTAACTTTTTAATTGTTGCTTCTTTGGTACATTATGACTTTTTCATCGTCTTGCATGTATTATTGAAGTAATATAAACTGTGCGTGATTTGTATTTTTCATTCCAATTTCCTGTTGTGGGTTATTTTGCTCTGAAATTTGCCCATTGCAGGGGATATTAAGTAAACCAGAATTCTGTTGTAGTCCAAAATTCACTGACCAAGACTAGTGAGTGACTCTCTCTCAACACATTAGGTGTCTAGTGTTTGAGTCAATAATAAAACATTCTTACATTACTCCAGCTAACAGGAGTAAAGAAGTGCTACAAAGAGAACATTACTGTTACTCTTTGAGGGTTCTGAGAGAGGTTTTTTGCTAGTGAACCCATAGCATATAGCTGAGACAGAATTCAGTTGAGTGTCTTTTTTTTAATACTGTTGCTTATATTATGGTTTTCTTGCTCTCACTTGCAAGCACCATCAACTAAGCACCGTCAACTCCCATAAAAGTTAATGGAAGTTGAAGATGTTCAGCATATCACAAAGTGGGGTATCAGTGTGATGTAATATTGCACAACATACAAAAAGGCACACTAGCTGGTAATAAATTAAATCATCGGCATACCTTCTGATTAAGGTGCAACTAAAATTTTAATTTTAAGAATTATATATGGAAGAATAATAAACAATAACCATGAGGATTTTTTGCAATATCAGGTAGTGTCATGATGAACTTAAATATGTATAAATATATATATAGCTGGAAATCACATCATTCCTAAGTTAACCATCTGTATGAAACACTGTACAATTCAATTCTTGTGTTTTTTAAATATTTTTTAAAGTTTACTTGAATATTCATGTAATATATTAAGATTTTTGTGAAATGAACTTTAGTTAGAAGGAAGCTGGCATCAGCTTTCATCAGCATAAATTGATACTAATGTGTCAAAATATTATTATTTTGGGAAATTAGTGCATTTTATATTAAAAAAAGACTACTAAAGGTTAAAAACATTTTTCTAGCTCTCTACTTTCCATACTTTAAACTGTGTGACTTAAGTACCTCTGTTCTTAAGGTTTCAAAGTGTAAAGTCAGTTAAAATATCCTCTGTTAATAGTTCCATTAGAGTAAATACATTTTCTATTGACTTTTTTACAATGCTAAAGTAATGTTTTGTAACAAGGGCTTGTTACACAGAAGTGCAACAATGATTAAAATGCAGTTTATCATGCCTTTCTTTTGATCTTTGTAAAAGTTTTTTGGTTTTGGGCTTGTTGGGTTTTTTTGGCTTGGGATTCATTGTAAAAACAGATGAACCTAATGTATATGTTTTGTGTAATTCCATAAAGAAATTTTGTAAAATATTGTATGTCTATCTTTCTGGTCCAGTGAATGCAAGGTGTTGATTTACTCTGTTAAGCTCCTCTTCTTAATAAATATTTTCTTAGTAAACAGCTTAAGCAGAAAACTTATACAAAAGTTAAATAGAAATTACTTATAACAAGTTTACAAATAAAACTAACAAAATTATTTCAGAATTCACAGGAGGATGTGTGTGTTTATAAAGAAAAAAAGTCTTCAGATACCATCAGATGAATTTCAAGGGGAAGTTCAGAAAAAAATATAATGCAGTAGCAGTAGGGAGGACAAGGTAACGTGACTGGCCTTTCTCATATCAATGATTCTGTGGATTATCTCACCACAAAAAGATTTCCATGCCAAACAGATTATCTAATTACATCATTTTAGGGCTGGCAGAGTATCATCAGGTACATATGAGTAGTAAAGTGTTTCCCCAGATGGATAATGTGACATTTGAATACTCAATTTTCAGATTATAATAGGAATTATATTTTACTTTATTGCAAAATTCAATGCCTAAAAACACCAGAAAAGAGGACAGTAACATTGTTTTGTGTATTTGTGGATCAGAGAGGTAAACCCAGCATTTCCTTCTGCTTTTAGAAGCATTAGAAGAAATTAAGTACCCAAATCATATGGTCAAAATAATGTGATTTGTCTGCTTTATGAATGTATCACCACAGTATTATTACAGAATAGTGACTGTTATTTACATCCAGGGCAATATTAATCACTAGAGTAAATAGGTGCAACTCTATTTAAATCAATGCACTCTTCACCATTAAGTATTTTCAGCTCTGAGAGCCTTATGCATGCATTATCTAATTTTGTCTATAAATATCCCCCTACCCAACTTCACAAATGATTACCTTCCATGCTATTCTGCCCTTTGGACATTGAAAAATGTACAGATAATTACAGACATGGGATGGAATTTCAACCCATGTTTCATAGCTACTGCTAATTCTGTTTGTGATACAATAGCCATACAAATCTTGACTTTAGACTGGTGGAGGGGAATTGTTATATACAGGCAGTCCCCGAGTTACACGGATCCGACTTATGTCGGATCCGCACTTACGAACGGGGCCCTCTCCCTGGTCTCCTGCAGACCAGGGAGAGGAAGCAAAGCGACGGAACATGCAGGTAGCGGGCAGCCCAGTCGCGCCTGGGCTGTCCGCTGCCCGCGTGCTCCAGGGCATTGCTCTGCTTTGCTCCCCGTCCCCTTGGTCTGCAGTCCAGGGGGACGGGGAGCAAAGCAGAGCAATGCCCTGGAGCACGCGGGCAGCGGACAGCCCAGGCGCGACTGGGCTGCCCGCTACCTGCATGTTCCGTCGCTTTGCTTCCTCTCCCTGGTCTGCAGGAGACCAGGGAGAGGGCCCCGTTCGTAAGTGCGGATCCGACATAAGTCGGATCCGTGTAACTCGGGGACTGCCTGTATATAACAATTCCCCTCCACCAGTCTAAAGTCAAGATTTGTATGGCTATTGTATCACAAACAGAATTAGCAGTAGCTATGAAACATGGGTTGAAATTCCATCCCATGTCTGTAATTATCTGTACATTTTTCAATGTCCAAAGGGCAGAATAGCATGGAAGGTAATCATTTGTGAAGTTGGGTAGGGGGATATTTATAGACAAAATTAGATAATGCATGCATAAGGCTCTCAGAGCTGAAAATACTTAATGGTGAAGAGTGCATTGATTTAAATAGAGTTGCACCTATTTACTCTAGTGATTAATATTGCCCTGGATGTAAATAACAGTCACTATTCTGTAATAATACTGTGGTGATACATTCATAAAGCAGACAAATCACATTATTTTGAGGAAAAAGGAGCATGTTTTAATATAAAAGGGACTCTATGGCAATAAGCTGGTTGAGAAAAGAGAGATAAGGAATGAGTTGAAAAGAGAGAAGAAAGAGAAGATGGGATGATGCTGAGAAAAATGGGGGGTGGGAGCATTGAAGAGAACATGAAGGGGTTCCAGTTCAGGCTGAGAACTTAAAGTGATGGGGATCCCATTTTATTGTATGTGTTTTCTTGAACAAAATGCAATACAAACCCACTTTCTGGATGTGGTATACTGCCAAGCTTTGTTCTCTGTGTCACAGATTAACAATATGTCTTCCTTTTCTTTTTCTGCGGCAATAACTGAATCACAAATTACAAGAGACTGATGCTTTGCATAAGCATTTTTTGAATTCCTTTTCTTTTATGCAGAGCAGCCTCAGGAGGGCCAATTGCCTTACCTTATGTCAAACAGTTCACTTTCATTTCACTTATGATGCTTGCTCCTTATCCTTGAGGGTTTCTGAGTGCTGGTCTGAACTATGTGGATATTGCTTTCCACTTCAAGTACAATGACCCAGATGGGAGCTGTAGTACATACAGCACACAGTCTTCCTCTGTATTCGTCTTTGCACTGGAACCAAATTGAGATATTGTCTGTTCTTTTTCTTATAAACAGTTTACCCTTAGAAAAACAAGTTATTTTCTCCCCTCTTCCTTTTGATAAATGTCTTAGTGTATTTCACAAATATACTCCAACATGTTTACATAATTTTAGCATGAGAGGCATGTTATAGCATATTGGTTCAAACAATGATTAAAGCTAACTAATTGGGGAATGCAGTAAGCACAGAGTAGTGGTTAATTTGGTTTGTATATTGTAATTGACTCCAGCCTACAGCCTCTATTTTTGTAAATAAAGAAAAAAGTGCTCCTTAACTTATATCACTAAAAAGAATATGGAATTAGACCTTACAACAGATGTCAAATACATATTAACTTTTTCTTTCATGTTGCAACTGAGGCAAAAGCAAGCACTTATTGTGTAATATTGCATAAGGGAAACATATGGCTCATTAATGCTTAATAAATATCTAACTTCATTTCTTGTGCAACTAATAATTTAATCCTTAACATTATTTCCTTTATAAATAGCATTTAAGTATGTAATAACAGGGTGAAACTTTATATAACTATCCTATTAGAAAAGAGTAAGTTTTACAGGTGGATTTTGTATTCATATTTGATCTTCCTAAAGTCAAAAATAAGATAGCTGCTGCAGCTCTCTTTTATAGCCATGACAATGCAGCACTTGATCAACAGACGATCACATGCTCTTTGGAAAACTTCCTGTACACCCTAGAGCCAGAGATGGGCAATAATTTTTGATGGGGGAGCCACTCCAAGGTTTTGGTGAGTAGTCAAGGGCCATACTTTTCTATGGAGGGGTTACAGGTCAGAAACTGAGTGTAGAAGAGAGCTTGGGGGTCAGGAGTGTGTGTGAAGTCTGAGAGGGAGTTTGGGTGAAGGAGAGGGTAGTGACCTGGAGCAGAGGATTGTGTGCAGGGTCAGGCAGAGGGTTTAGTTGCAGGAGAGGAGACCTGGGAAGGGGAACTGGAGGAGGTGCAGGGTGGAGGGAGTTGTAACTGGGGTGGGGTGGGAGGTAGCAGAGGGTTTGGGTGATGACTAGGGGCAGGGGAATGGGATGTAGAGTTGGGAAGGGAATATGGGTTCAGGAGAGAATTCTGACCTGGGAGTGGAAATTAGGAGGCGGTGTGGGGTCAGGGAGAGAGTTGTGCAGTAGAGGAAGATGGGGGGTGGGGAGGGCGGGTGCAGAGGTTTGGGTGGTAACTTGGGGATTGTGTTGTGGGAAGGAAGGGGATGTAGTGACAGAGGCAGGCTGTGGCTAGGATTCACTTACTTGGGGATCTCCCGGCCGGCAGCCCTGCAGGACCCGGAGGCAGGCTTTCTGCCTGTCACGACCTCAGACTGCTGCTCAAAATGGATGGCTGCTCCCTATAGCTCTCTGTTCTGAGCACTGCCCTTACCCCCAGCAAAATTTCTGAGCTCCCATTGGCCAGTTTCCAAGCTGAAAGATTTTGCTGTTGGGCTGGGGTAGCGGCACCTGTAGCAGACAGACCGCATTGGGCTGCTCTGAAGCAGCTGGCTGCTCTGTGCCTGAGGGGACTCGGTGTGAAGGCCCGTGGGCTGGATCAGGTGTCCCAGGGGCTGGATCCAGTGGCTTGGTGGGCTGGATGCTATGGCTGAGTGAATGCTCATTTAAAAACTTTTCAAATAAATGTTTAGCTAGCTCAAGCAACCAAGATTTAACCAAACTCCACCCCTATGCAATCCTAATTTTTCACTTTTTCACATTAACTAATGGAATTTCTGAGACTTGTTTAATAATTCAGAGCTCACTAAGGGTATGTCTACACTGCATGCCTCTTTCGAGAGCGAAATTGCAAATGAAGTGCAGATTTGAATTTCCCGCACTTCATTTGCATAATGGCGTACGGGCACTTTTTTGAAATACCCTATTTTGAAAGAACAAATGCAGTCTAGATGGGGTTATTTTGAAAAAAAAACACCCTTCTTTCAAAATAACCCTTACTCCTTAAAAAAGGAGGTTTAAGGGTTCGAAAGAAGGGTTGTTTTTTTTTTCGAAATAACTCCGTCTAGACTGCATTTGTTCTTTCAAAATAGGGTATTTCAAAAAAGTGCCCAGATGCCATTATGCAAAAGAAGCATGGGAAATTCAAATCCGCGCTTCATTTGCAATTTCGCTCTCCTGCATTTGCATTCCTCTCTCAAAAGAGAAATGCAGCGTAGACATATCCTAAAGTGCAATGGGAATTTTTCTCACCGCAAAATAGGAATCATAGAATAGGTCTTCTAATCCAATCCCCTGCTCAAAGCAGGACCAACCCCAACTAAATCATACCACCCAGGGCTTTGTCAAGGCCCTCCTCGACCTCCTTCTGACAACAAAAATTACATGACCCCAGTTCAACAGACATTTCCTAGACATCTGAAAAAGTACCTGATAATGTTTCATATCATTGGAAATATAAAGCCATTGGTGAAGGCTGTGTTATCCTTTTCTTGAAGATTATATTTTCTCTACTAACATGTGGAAGGCTGTAGATCAAAGGTAATGGCATGTAGCACTATCCAGGGACATATGGGATACTTGGTCACGTTTCAATCAAAACCATATATTTCGCAAGTCCAAAATTGCAGAGTGGCATCTGGTTTGCTAACTGCTGCCTACCCACAGTTTCTTGTGGTTAGTTACTGCATGATTTTCTCATAGTATGTCTGTGCACACATGGGAGAAGAGATGATTCAGCAGCTGAATCACTTTAAAGTGGTGACCTTCCATGTATTCCACAATGAAAGATGTGCCCTAGGTCAGATTTCTTATTCCAGCTGGATGAGATTTTCAGAAAAACTGAAGAACTTTAAATATAAACAAAAGTTTTAAGGATTTTGCCCCACTCCCTCATTTGATA